CTTTTCCTATACTTTCACAGAAACATCTCTGACATTGCTACGTTTTCCTCAGGCTGCTTTAAAAATAAAAAATGGATTTGATTCCTAGCTCAGTTTAATTGTCTCCCTCGACGGTCACGTGTAAATGGTCGCACAATACATTCGACCACAATTTTCCATGGTCTACTCTCTTACAGATCATTGAAATGACGTCATAAAATGTTCAAAACTTAAGAAAAACCACGAGCCGCCGCAGGCGAGAGTTTTCACCGCAAAATTTGAAACATTTTTTGGTGTCATTTCTTTAGTCTACTAGAGTGAAGACCATGGAAAATTGTGTTCGATTTGTTTTTTACAATAACAGTTGTTGTTGTTTTTTTTTACGAAAAACCAAAAGCAAAACAACCTGCACTGCGTGACATGTTAAGTCATGTCCAAGGTCTAGTTAAGCAATAGACCGGCAGACTGGTAAGCTGATCTGTCCTTGGCAGCTGATCTGTCCTTGCTTGGTATCTTGCTCGGACAGATAAACTGCTTAAGACTGGCAGCTGATCTGTCCGAGCAAGATACCAAGCAAGGACAGATCAGCTGCCAGTCTTAAGCAGTTTAAGACCCAGATACGCAGTCTTGATTTAAGTAACATTTTAGATGGATGTAGTGGCTGCTACCTTTGCAATTCGTAATTTTAACTTTTCTTAATTACGATTTTAATTACAAGATTCTAGAATTTTGATAAGTACAAACGGAGTTTTTGTAGTATGTATGTTCGTGAGTTATCATTAGTAGTTTCTAATTCTAACTCTTAATAGATTCTAGTTTCGACTCTATGATTCGTTTTGTATTTTTAGATTGTATTTTAGAAAGTTAGGTGTCCCCTATTAGCAGTGGGGAATCCCCTCTGCCAGATTTTTGTTTGAAACGTTAATAAAGTCATTGTTATTATTATAATAGACCACATACACTTTCTATGAGTTTACCGGCACAATAAATCATAGGTTTTTAACCAATCAGAACTCGCGTAATATCTTAGTTATTTTAAAAACTCTCATACACGATAGCTCTCGACCAATAGTAAAGAGCCCGAAAGTGTAAATGGTGACTGTGTTCCTCGTCAAGAGACTTGTAATGAATTCAGAAATCGGTTATGCGTTACATACCACGCACGATTTAGTCACCGGCATGGACAGATTCAAAGTTTAGCGACAGTTCACTGAAATGTAAGGAGACATGCAAGATATCATCTTTTGAAGAAGGGAGGAACACTTTCATTGTGGGCTTGTTAATGGATAAGTAAGGTAGGGGAATAATGAAGGCGATTTTTTCAGACGGCATTTACAAGACAATTCCTTGTCATCTCTGCATTCAACCAGTTGTCAAATGTCACTGAAAACTTTATTAGAACTCATGGATGCCTTGGGAGTAACCTCATTTGTAAACAAACCTTTGAAATTGCCTGTCACATAAGGTGAAAGACCCAAAATGAGCCTGTGGATTTCAAAATGCAAATTTCATTCAGGAAGTGCCGTGATGCAAAACAAGATTTGTAATTCAAAGTATTGTGCTTTGTAGCAACAGTTTATACGTTTCATCTAACTTGTTTGAGACAAACAAAAGGTTAACAGTCTTTCATTTGGTCTTCACTCAGCTAACTTTGTATAATAACGACATTCAGTTTTCATTATCACAAGTTCATCGTTTTTTCGTCGTTTTGTTTACAGCACAAAAGACCTGCATCTTCAACCATGACTTACGAAGTCCTTACTATTGTAGCTTTAGCCCTGTCAGGGGTGGTGTGCGTCTGTCAAGTGTTTATCTTTATTTCCGTTTTCCATTTTTCTGTCAAACTGAGACGAATACAGCAAGCAGTTGATCATCTTGCTAAGATGAAAATCGTAGAGAGAAACAAAGTGGAATCTTTGATGCGGCTACCTCCGACACCCCGGCCAGGAGAAACCGTCACCATGCTTTGCCGCAAACCACATCCTGAGATACCAGAACAGTTCGTTATCACTGAAGGTACATCTCAACTATCGGAACCAAGCCATTTTACTGTTACATCGATAGATGAACAGAAGAACGAAGGATTCGAAAACAGTGAATGATCAGTGATTCTAAGAACTGCACTCGCAACTTTGCGAAACAGAGGACATGATTTTATTTTACCTGCTGTTAAACAGAACGCCTTAAGAGAACTTTTATTAATAGGTGTCTTTTTAATTTTATTTAATTGTACTTCATCTTAAATAGATTGCATTGTCATGTATGTAAAGCCATACGTATGTTGGGACTACTCAACTATGAATAAAGACTCTTATTTATCATTATTTATTTAACTTGCATTATTTTGAGCACGGTCTCCAATATGTATGCATGTATGTATGTATGTAGGTTTCTTCAATCCCGTAATCCCGAGGCCTTTGGGCATTCTAACTCGCGCCATACTTTCAATCCCGAATCTCTTCCGATCTTGTTTTAAATCCCGAATCCCGAACTTGAAATAGGGGAAATCCCGGACCCGGAAAACTTATTGGGGACCCTCTATTTTGAGAGTTGGAACTCCGCATGCCTTGATTTTTTTGGTTGGCAAGGTAAAGTTAATCGATCTTGAAATTGAAGAAAGCCTCTTGCTAGTTTTAATTTGAGAAAGTGGAAACAAAGAAGAGGTTAAAAATTAGGAACTGTATAGATGAAGGATTTTTTTAGGATGGATAAATCTGAACATGAATTCATGCAAACCGGCTCGCGGCTTGAATTGGGCTAAATTTGACAAGATCCAGAAACCGCGACGTTTATACAGGAAAGTACTGAATACTTCAAACTTCATTCTCTATGAAACACTACTAGCTAACTGGGGCCGGTTGCTCGAAGCCTGGTTAGCGATAAACGTTGGTTAAGAGGTATCAAAATGTATAGGTTTCCATGGTATTTAACGCTGGTTAGCACTAACCATGCTTCGAGCAACCCGGGCCTGGCTGATTTTCATGCGTCAATAGAGAAGATAAGATACTTCAAAACTGGAGGGCGAACTAGGATTTTAGCGACAATCAAAGGTCTGTAATATATTATAAAATTAGGCAGTTTATGAAGGTACATATACAAAAAAAGCACAAGTCCAAAAATCTACAATTGGACCACCTTTCGCAGCGAAACGAACAAGCTCACGTGAACAAGCCCGCGTCCAGTCGGTCCCAGCTGGGACTTACGGCGCAGAGTTTGGGAGGCCCTGGGCTCAACTCCTGTGAGAGACTCAGGATTTTTCTTAGCGTCATGTTGGTGATATCACATGATATCATCATATTCAGGGACCTCACGAATCTACAGTGGAGACATCAACAGCAACCGGAACGGTGTTTACGTGAGAAAAACAACACTTTACGCTCTCCCGCATTTTTGTAAATCTTTTTTCCGTCCTTGCTCTACGACGTGAACCACATCTTTAGTTTTTACGAGACGGAAAACCGACGAGGCGATAAATTTTGATCCATCTATCTGAGCTCGGACGCGGTCCCCTCAGATCAGCTACGTCCAGCCTTATTTCCCTACTTTTAAGTAACTGGCGGAGCTGCCTGTAATAGCGGAAAGAAAGTTGAAGGACCCGATCGATTGCAGTTTTTCAGTGACGGCTTCGCCGTGGTACTACCGTAAGGTCTTTATGTTTAGGGTTAGGGTACCGAATTTACTCGATTCAACGCCTCAGAAAGAACTGAGCAAAATTACTAATTACTATGGTAATCTACACCATCTAGGCAACAAGAGTTATCATTATTGTTGTCAGCGGTTTAAAAAATGTGATTTTGAAATAACCACCGCCCTTGAAGAAATTAAACGCCGCATAGGACTCGCTAAAAAAATTAATAAACCTCGCGGCGTTTAATCGAATAAATACGGTAGCTGTGAACGAATCATGTATTAAAGGAAAAGGGGGGGCTGGGGGAGACCTCGTCCTGATCCCCATGACGCCCTACCGGCTTTGCTGAGTAAGTTTCTAGAATATATTTAAATCAACTTAGGTTTTCGCTTTCAAAAAATTGTAGCGTGCTCACGGCTGAGACTACCGGTATGTAAAGTAAATTATAAGCACTGTCATGAAGTAAAGTTTTTCGGTTCAGAAGTCGAGTTTTGATGTGTCGCTCCGATAATGCAATTCGTCTAATTAAAGTTCAGGATATCAAACGCAATTGGCTCATTCTAGCTATAGGCTGATATCCAGATCACCCACACTATAATTTACCTACCTGTAAAAATTACCTAGTAAACCTTAAACGAAACTGAAAAATTAAATATGGTGAACATTATTTGTTTTTGTTCGTAAATTGCTTAATTTGTGCGCATGATCATTCAGGCGTGCTGTCCCTCAGGCGAAAGTCAGTTTTGTTATAGAGGATTCCAAGATTCAGGGACAACCATTCATGTTGGTTAAATTATAAGGTAAGAGGATGCCGAATTTTTTGACGAAGTCAATAAAAGTTCTCAATTACAGTAGCGAACCGGCAGTTCACATTTGACGCAGTTTGTTGCCATAAGATGAAGTTGTTAAATTTGCATGCTAAACAGACAAACCTTTGAACGACGATAATTAAATCAAGTAAATATATATTTTCAGTTTCGGATATGCAAAATTGTTAAGAAAACAGGCAACTTGGTGTGGCTTGAATTCAAAAGAAAAATTTAGATTCTGCCTGCCTTTAAATCTAGATCGATCTTGGCCACGTTTGTCGAACTTTCCAGTCAATTTGCAATATTGAGTTCTCGGCGTCTCTTTGGTCTATGAACAAGGTAACTGTGATTTTCTCTCTTCCACATATATGTAAGATAGTTGTAGAGCGATAGCTATCATCTCTGGTACTTTAATGTTCATGTATTATTCGTTCCATACAGAAAGGAACTGACAGCCTAACAGCGGAGCTCCACGCATGGTTGACGTGCTTGTTGTTGTTGCTATAGTCCTGTCAGGGGTAGGGTGCTTATCCAATCTTTTCCTCTGGATTTCTATGTTTCATCTATTTGCAAAGATAAAGCGAATGGAACAGGTCATCGATGATGTTACTAACGTTAAAATCGATGAGTCCACATTCTTGTCTTTGCCTCCGATACCACGGGCGGGAGAAACGATCACAATGTTACGTCGTCCACAGTCTGTGTTGTTAGAACAAGTTGTTAACTCTGAAGGAATGCCAACTCAACAAACTGATTCAGGAGAGGTTACTAATACAGGAAGTGATGTCGTAGACAAAATCAACGAAGGATTTGACAACAACGGTGCATAAACCCACTGAAAATATAGATGTATAAGACAATCAAACTCATACAAAATACAAAATAATAATAAAAAAATGACTTCTTATAACGGCATAACGCTGATAACGAATAAGAACTACAAAGCCAAATTAGGATATGTCACTTTGTTTTAAAGTATTTCTTATGCACTTAAAAGGGTGCACTGCATTAGGCAACCTCGTCCCCAGGGCACCCCACCCAATTTTTAAGGGAAAAGCCCTGGGGACGAGGTTGTTCATTAGGGAGGCCCCCAGTTCGAGCCCGATCGCTTGCTGGGTTTGTCATGAGTTCAACTCCTCCGCTACGCTTGTAAATTAGCCACTAACTGGTTCCCCCTCCTGCCAATCCAGGATGCAGGATTTTTTAACCCTTTTGTTTCATAGAAATCGTTAGTTTAAGTCATTTGCTCAGCCTCACTAGCATTCGTACTAATGCTGCCTAAAGGAAATAAAAGGTATGATTATAATTATTCTTATCTTTATTATTACTTTTTGTTTTAATGGACAATTAAGCGTTTACACATGACGTCACGGCGGCCATATTGGTGTTCCAAAACAATGCAACGGCGGCCATGTTAGTGTTCCAAACCAATCTTGTGGGTGTTGAACTCTTTTCGTATGTAAACACTTTCTTTTGTTCCAATAAATTTCCATAGATGCTGGCCACTTGAGTGAAAACGCTCTATTACTCTGGATCAATGAGCACGCGACAGTTTCTACGCTTATTGCAAAAAATAGTTATTCTATAACTGAGCGATTTGTCGCGCACTGATTGGCCGCCGAGGGGTATGGCTGATGATAGTACAGAGTAACCCCGGGGGGGGGGTACTTTAGGAATTTCTGGGTGGGGATGTGCCGCTGGGACCCTGGAACCCTTAACCTATACCAGAGCTAGTTCAGCTGAATTTTGCTACCCTATACTAGAGTAAACTCCCAAATCCCCCCTATCCTAGAGTAGCTATTTCCCTAGTCGAGATAAAATCTTCAACCAACGGATTAGTTTCCTGAAAAATAATACCCTATTCTAGACCCAAACGTTCTGATTTATATACCCTATCCTAGAGTAAACTGCTTGAAAACCATACCCTTCACAGCGGCACATACCTATATAGCCCATATATGGCAGTGCCCCCCCGGGAGAGTAACAGACCATGGAAATGACGTCATGGTGGCGCAATTTGTTGTTTTCGTTTTCTCTTTCGCGCAATTTTCCGAGAAAATTTCGAAGGAAATATGCGTAAAAACTGTAAATGTTATTATAAAAAACCAATCGACAACAATTTTCCATGGTCTTCTGTCATTGAAGTTAGAAATGAGGTCAAAATGTTAAAAAGATATGCAGTAAAACTGCTCGCCTCCGACTCCTGGTTCCACTAGAGTTTGGACAGCTTTGACGTCATTTTCGATATGATTTGCTAAATTAAATTACAGTCCAAAAATGAAAAATGCTGAGAAAAATTCAGTGAGCTACAGCAAAACCAGCAACACCACACTGAATGTATTATTCACTTCCTTTCAGAAGTGTATGGAGGGTCATATGCTCCTGTTCCCGTTATCACAGACGAGTGATCACTGTTTACAAACGAGCTTCAGCCACTAACTCAAAAAGTTTAGCATTGCTCTTATCCAGTAAAATGCAGCAAAGTACTACTTACTAGTAGCATTCATTTCAGTGGTCAACACTTCTGGATTTCATCCACAGACTAAAAGGTTAGAGAATCTATCCTGCATGCCACCATAAAAGAGAAGCACAGGAAATGATTGCTTTAACTCAGTAGCGTTATTTCGTCACGTGAATAGGTTGAAGGAAGAAGACGTTCATACCCATTATACCCTAATTGGCCAAATCCCCTGTCACGCAATCTCGTCACTTTTAATCTTGATATACATTCGGCACTTGAATCCTGGCAGTTCTTCTACTGACGGATAACTACAACTATCTACGGTTCTTGATTCTTGACAACTGACGCTTTCAACTGGCACCTGAAGGACCGCGGGCTTATCTTGTGTATATTGAATCTTATATTTTAATTGAGTCTGTTGAAATAACTGATTTTCAGTGATAGAATTCTACCAACATATTGCTCTTTAAGTCCTTTAATCAGTCCAAGACATGCAGGATTCTCAAGAGTCAACCAAAATACTTCGCCCACTTTTTGACAGCATTTAACGCTAAAGCTAGCCTATACACTCCTGATAATATAACGGCGCGTTCTTTAAAGTTATTCCTATGTTATGAATCATTTTCGGCTGAAACGCGCAAGCTCGTAATAGATATCCCTTAGTCACCCCACGAACTCTCAGTATTCTCTTCATAACTGATTACCGCACCGTATCACTATCAGCATTTACTACGTACCCGGCCGGACCAATAACTTCGATCAAAGGTTAGCAGACGACCGGCACTTACAAGCTTCCACTTCACATTGTACTGGACCGCATGTTATTTAGCCTTCACCATTATAGTATCAAGGTCAACTGCCCGGAGAACTTTCCTGATGGTGAATAAAACGTCGCCGGTATTGTCACCGCCTGTTTCATTTTGCTAGATCTAGCGGCATACTGTTTGCGCACGAAGAGGTGTCTTACACTTTCAATAAAATACCGTTGCTCTACCTTTAGGTGATGTTACACGGGCGATTTGCAACGACGATTAATAGTTGCGATATTGTTCCAACATTGCAGCGCTGTGTTGCGCAAAAAATCGTCGTTGCCAATCGTCCCGTGTAACATCGCCTTTAGGAAAGCTGTTGAGAAATACTTTGGTATTCTATATTGTCTGACTATTACACGGCAAAAAGTGAATCTATCCTAGTAAGTATGTCGCAGAATAGTTACCCAAACGGTATAAATTAATTACACTTTTTTTTTTCTATAAGAATATATTTTATAAGAATATCGAGGCTGAAATTTGCGAAATTTTAAGAATATTTTAAGAATAAACCCCAGGCTGAGGTTTTGAAAAGGATGTAATTTTGTGTGTTCAAAAACTGCATGTAAATACCACACAATTATGTTTTCAACTTATTCCATCCTCTGAACGGCAAAACTTGCCAACAAGGCGCAAAAACCTGCACTATAAACTATACTTGATACCCCAATATATTCTAAAACGGAAATGTCATAAGCTATAATTTAAGAATAATACAAGAATATTTTCAGCCTAAAATCGGCAGAAAAATAAGAATATCAGCCTGGGCCGGAAAAACAACATTCTTATATAAAAAAAAGAGTGTATTGAAACTAAGCTGGCTTTGGATCCCAAGGGTACGGGGATTTGGGATGCTGTTGGCAGCAAAATCGTTTTAGTCTGTACTAAAAACCTCCCTGAAACGCAACAGCTCATAGGCAGTACTTTCGTTCTTTTCGTCCAGTCATTCTTTTGGCTGCTAGGTGGTTCTTGTAGGTAGTGACCTGGAATGTAAAATTAATTAAGTTTTCATGAGTTTTGTCCGCCTGTAAGAACTGCTAAAGAAACTGGAGAGGAACCGTCACAGGAGTCAGATTTTTCAGTTATTCTTCAACTTGTTTTAAACTAAAATTTTGCCCCTAGTCACCTAGTTATAACGGGTTCTCCACACGAACCAGAGATTAATTTGGCCGCCTCCTATTACCTTGCTACCAGTAGGTCAAGGTGACTTTCACTTGAAATATAATAGCAAAATACCAAAAAAACAAGCAACGAGAACTGATTTCCTGATTGACTTGAAGCTGTTAATGTCTTTTGGTTCAAATAAAACTTCTTGTGTTACTGTGTTGGGAGGTTTCGTAGGGGTGTGGTTATGGTTTCTCGTACGGCTCTAGTAGTGGAAATATAAACGCCATTATTGAGGACGTCAGTTGATCCATCTGTAGCCTGCGAAAACATCCGTTTATCCTCGCTCTTCGTCGCTGGGGACGTTTCGCGCGGGGAACGTGACGTTCCTCCGCGCGAAACGTCCCCAACGACGAGGAGCAAGGATAAACGGATGTTTTCGCAGGCTAATCCATCTGTAACTCAAAACACTTTGTATGCATATCAGGGGAGTTTGGACATGGGGATGGATCCTGCGGGGCTCTTGGGTTAATATCCTGCCGGAATAATACCCCTTCGTGGGTATCCCGGGTACAAACTTTAAACACTCGATTGAAACGTGATAGGACCTGATCCTCGATATGCATGTAAGGAAGGCGGGGGTTTTGAACGAATATTGGCCGGACACCCCGCTGTGAAAACCGGAGGTCCTATCATGCATAAACATCACGCAACTGAATTATCGTTTCACTCAAAACAATTTTGGCTAGCTAGAGTTTTCTTTATCATTTATAAAATGTCTGATATTGAAATATTCTCCAAGATTCTGATAGCCAATTGCTTATTAAGTGTTTTGAATGACTTATGAAGGAACTGTAAATACATGTTAAATCTCAACGGACCAAGAACAAAAATGGTCATCCGTGTAGCCTGCGTGGAAAGCGTTTCCGCGAGAGTTCAGCCGCGAGAGCAAAAGCTCGATTGGAAACGCTTACTACACAGGCTATCATCCGTGCGGCTGAATCGTGGGATGTTGAATATATTCGAGCAGGGTAATAGGCTCCTGATTCGAGCTGAGTAACGGAGTACGTCGATTAATTTCTTCCGGCAGGCAGGTTTGAACTACTGCTCTAGTTTGGCTAACTTGGCCTCACTCGACATCAGGCCCAATTTTAGCAGCTTCCATACACTTTCTCTTTCGTGGTCGTTTGGCCTTTCCCGACAGAGAGATTTTATTTAAAAAGCGAAAGTCATAGAGCCTGATCTTAGGTTAAACCTGGCCTATAGATAAATCATCAAACTGTGATACTTTATGCAAAGAAACCGAAAGTTTTAGAAGAGTTTTAGGAATCAGCTGAATCAGCGAAAGGCTTATCTGCAGAGATAAACAAGAAACTACGAAACTTCTCTTTAATTCTTGTTTATTGTTTGCGAAACCTGATCAAAACAGGATGCCAAAGGAACCACAAATCCCGGTCCCTTGGAGAGCTGACTGATTCTTTGTACTTTACTTCCTGGTGGAAAGCAAGGGATTTTTCCCTGTTATATCCTGTCTTAATTTCGTATAAATGAAAAGAAAATAAATGTTGATGTGACAAGAACTTAAAGGCGTCTTTTACTTATCGAACTGATTTTGAAATTTGATTTTTTCCACATCGTTACTGATACGCCGGGGTTTTAACCAAGCTAATATGAGGTCAAGGTTTCGCTTTCATGCTCCCTCATTGGTAGTCTTAAATCATAGCTCAACTCAAGTCACATAGTACAAGACTCTTTAATATCCATATCACGTTTCGGCTCATCATCACGGAACTCGGAAAAAACGATACGGAATATTCATAAGGAAGTCACTAGCAGAAAAAGCGAGCGCGGGCCGTTTGGCAAAACGGAATAATCTTTCAGAAGAGGCGTAAAGCAGCAGTGTGATAAAGTTTCCTTCGAAGGTAAGGAGAGTCGTTGAGTATATTGAGTGTTACATTACCATTCGGGACAGACTATGACCTTCATGTCGTTGGTCACAGCCTTAAGTTATGCATTGAAAGATCGCGAGTGAATCCTGAGCTAGACTAAGGTGCTTTGGACTGCAAAATAAACATTCTTTAGTCTCGTCTGAAGGGAATTCATGTCCATTGACTCCGAATTCCACCATACTGTAGAAGTTTTGAACAATTCTTTAAGACCTTTAAGGAGCAAGAATGAAGAATTGGAACAATTTCAGTCAAAGAAACCGCATTTTCGTATTAAAAAAAAACAACAAACACGAATAGGCTGATCAAGGTGCAAATTCTCTACTGTAATAAACGTGTCCCTTTTTGTCCAATACTGAAGTAGGTGTGAGTCACAGATATTCTTTACCTCAGAAGTTTGCTGAAAAAAGTACAATATAAGAGCCCAACCTAACCTAAACCTCATATTCGATAAGTGGAATAACGATAGCTGATAAACGTGACAGCTGACAACTACCCTAGCGAAACACGTTTGAAAAACAAGCTTTGTTGTTTCAACCTCGTTTCAGCACGAGGTCACTGACAATTGGAAAACCCTTCACTCTTTTGAATGCCTTTTTTCGAGTTTTTTCGCCGCCTGATATTTTTCACATCTAGGAAAACCGAGATAAGAACTTAAAGGCATCATTAGAAATTGTGGTGTATTTGACTGATAAATTCAGGTATTTTCTGTTGGATATTGGCTCAGTGGCTTCAGTAACCGGCTGATATATTTAGATCCATCCACTTCCGGTTGTGAATATTTGCTCTCGAATCCAAAGAATTCAATAACAATCTGCCATTCTTTTTTCATGAAAAAGCAAGATTTTATATTAATTTAAATCTGTGGAAGTTTAAATTAATTTTGAAGATCGAGACACTGTAGAATGAAGCAAAAAGTCGTCTTTCAAGATATTTCCTGCAAAATGAAAAATTACTGGTCGCTTTCGACCAATTATGCAAGGCAAGTTAATCCGTCAGCAATCACTTATCATTCTTGCGTAACTGCATTTAAAATAAGTCAAAGGGTTATTCCCGCTGGGGCGAAAGTTTCATTTTTGCATGAGACGCAAGGCGCCAAAGATCGATCTGCTGTTAGAAGCAGAAATACGGCCCATCTACGTTACGTCAATCCGTATTCGCCAGTTATATCTATATCGTGAAAACAGCTGTTTTCCTATCAGGCGAGTTCCTTGAAGATTTAAAAAGACTTGGTTGCTTGGTGTCGCAGGGTTCCCCGTTTTTAAGTCTAAGCCAAGGCCGGGCTTGAGCTCTACCCTAGCGTCGCTGGTAATTGGCCCCACGGATTTAACCAAAGTGACTGTAAGTACTAAAAAAGTTTTCTTGATACCGATATATATATATGATATTGAAATTCATTATAATCACTGAAGCTCTTGAAAACAAGACCGTTTATCTTGCGATCCACCGTATAGACCGATACGGACCTTGATGATGCGAAGAACGCAGTTGAGCGTACACAGTAACTGTCTTTATTTCAATAGATGTTTGTAATGCAATGTTTGTAAACTTCATTGTCATGAATCATTTAAGCGAACGGAAGTTTTTGCCTACTAAAAAACCGATTGAGTTGCTCATTTCACAAGTATTTTCAACTGTATTTCCTTGTAGCATTCCGTGAAAAATGACTACCTGCATGTGAAAGCTTTCTTCAGCTATATCCGTCTGTAGTGTACAATATCACTGAGTCAGGTTTTGTAGAGGAAAAAAAAAAGCCGTTAAGAAATGCTTCACTGTTTCAAAGAGTATGAAGGATCGAGGAAAATTTTGGTCAGCCGTTCAGTCCTTTTTGGCCGGCTGCCGGTAATTCACGACCCCAGGTGACAAATGGAATTACTGAGATCGAGTGTACAGTAAATCTACCGTCTTTTAGTATTTGATCAGCTGCAAACTATTTTCGATGCGGATGGAATGTTAAGTTGGACAAATAGAATGTGACCGTGAGGCAAAATACTTAATCAACAGTTCGAAAGCTGTACAGTATTGTAGCCATACTCATGATTCCCTAAATAAAAAAAAAAAAACCGCAGATAAAGATCACCAGAAAATTTACTAATTGTCCCAAAAGCGAACTGAACTATGAATAAATAGACAATAGAAATGAGGAAAAGACATTTTACTTTAAAATGGGCAAGATCTTTCTCCTACTGAGCTCCAAACCAGCAAGCTGGCTACGGCTGGTTAGCCAAACGGATACCGGAAGTCTTTAGGTGGACAATGGAGGGTTGTAAAACACAATGAAAGGGTTTTGTAAACAAAGTCAGTGATGGACTGATGAAAAAGTTATTTCCTACTCTTCCTTTTAGTACAACGAGAGTTAGCGTTACAGAACTGCCATTTGTAGCAATTATTTCGATAATTTTTGACAATTCCACTCCGCATTGAATGCCGTGCAGTTGAACCTCTCCACAATAGATCACAACAGCCACTTTGAGGATAGACGAAAGTGGCCGTTGTAGAGAGGTTTAAACAAGAGTCAATGTATGGATTGTCTGCCAAAAAAATGGCTGTTGTAGAGAGGTGGCCGTTCGTGGAGATTCGACTGTAGTTAGACGCGAGGTCTGACATTTATTAAGGGTCCCTATAGTGTCCTTCAATCCCGTTATCCAGACCCAGATTTTCGCTCAATCCGGTAATCCCGACATCATTTACGGGTCCCGGAACTCGTCCCGGCCATTTTGCTTTAAAATCCCGAATCCCGTTTTGGCGTAGAGGACCTTGCGGTAGGTCTGATTCCCGCGCACCGCTATCTTCATTAGGGAGCTTAAGCAGCGACGTTTTTGAGCGACGCACGTAAACCGGAAGTGAGGTATTTTCCCTCTTAACATGCCTTGATGATATAAAATTTGTATTTCTTAGCTTCTTTACTGTTATAGAGGCGATTTGACTGAAAATTTGCGCGAAACCACCGTCAAAAAATGAAAAAAGGCCACTTCCGGTTGACGTGCGTCGCTCAAAAACGTTGTTGCTTAAGCTCCCTATTAACTCAATGCGGAGGGTACCAGGGCCTACTGGTCTGCTCAAGTTAGTAATACATTAACTAAGTTTATACTTTTCTCTACAGGGCCTGGGAATGACTCTTGAAAAACTGTCCTTGATCCTCGCAGGGGTTGCCTGCGGATGCCTCGTGTTCCTTTGTATTATTGTAATATTTCTGTGTGTATCAGTCAAGCGAATTCGGCAGCGGTTAGAAGAACTCACTGGAAATGGAACTCGGCACCTCGCGAAGGCAAACAACAACGATCAAGAGCAAGGAAGACGCGGGAACAGCTACACTGGAGAACCATTAGCTAAGCCCCGAGTACCATCTGCTGTGTACCAGGACCCTGGGGAAACAGTTACTCGTTTGGAGCGAGAGACTGGGCAAACAGTTCTCACCTCAAGTGGGTGTTTAGTAGCTCCAGGGGTAGTAGGAATGGCAGCTGCTCCAGGTAGTTTTTTACCATCTTTTAAACCGGAAAGCTCCACGCAGGACTTAGACATGCAACACCCCGTTGAAAAGACACCACAGAAATCAGAGAAAAAGATTTTTGAATATGTCAATGAGGGCTACAGCCCAGGCTGCAGGCGGCATTCCAGCCCAGAGGAATCGAACGATGCAGAACCATCAGAGCCTATATACGGCAACCAGGAAGTATTCTCTGAACAGCCAATCTACGAAAATACTGATGGAGAAGAAGAGGTTTATCAGAATACAGGAGAGCGAAGGACTATCAATAACCCGGAGAGTATTCTGTGTAACACAATGGACATCTCCGAAGTACATTGACATCCGCGATTACTTTCCAGTCGCCACGCTGCCTGGTCAAAACACAAGAAGAATGGTGACGAGTCAGCTTAGTTAAGGAGATCTTGGAGATCAAAAGAAAAAGCAAACTTTGCCTAACAAGGCGTAAAAAATGCTTCAAGAAAAATTGAGCATTATCATTTAAATAATGGATTTAGCGAAGTTTAAGCTTACCAAAAATGATTTCTTCTTCGTAATGAGAAGGCCGGCTGGGCCTGATACAGACCTGATCAAACGCGTTTTAAAGAGAAGCTGTTTTAGAATTATGGATTCTTGCTTGCAGCTGACAGTTGTTATGTTAACCTCTCTGTAACGAGAAGTGAAATTATGATTATTACCAAAAAATTATATTATGTATAGAAATTGCATTGACACTTGAAGTTTTTGTTGAATAAAAACTCCAGCTATGATTACCCGTGCTTGTGTTTTTAACACTTTGTAGTTTTAAATCATAAATGGTCGATAACAAGGAGTCTTAATTGCAAGCCATTGGGTTTACCCCTAAGAATTGTACAAAACTATAACAGAAGTGTAAAAAGGAAAAGTAAAAAGTAAAAAGCTTTATTAATGTGTCAATGTATTTAGTTTTCACAACTAATTGGGGACACAAAAATAAAAATTACAAATAAGAAATAATAATAACAATAATAATGTATATACAATTAAAATATGTGGCATGTATAAATTGTATAATAAAACAATAGTTATATACAAGGTAGTCTCTAAGAATTACAAAGGTTGCAGCAGCTAGTGTTGTTGTTTAAGAGTGACGTTAGGTCTTTTTTCCTAATGTTCTTTTTGAAAGATTCAATATTCGAGGAGCCTTTCAATTTAATATCTACTGTGGCACCATGTAAGATAATCCAACCTGACAGTTCTGGATTCTGGATTCCAAGCCAAAGATTCCGGATTCTAGGTACTGGATTCTGGAATCGCTGTCAGTGGAACTTGGATTCTGGATGCCATTCGTTAGTGGCATCCGGATTCTTTGAGCTATATTCCGGATTCCACAGCTCAGGATTCTGGAATTAACAAGGAAAGTTTCCCAGATTCCTGATTCCACAAGCACCAATGTCCCTGATTTCAGAATTCGTATTCCCTTGCCATAACCCTGTACTTAAGCCCCCCTCCATCCCATTTCCCTGAGGGTATAGATGAGCCGCTGAAGGTTTGAAACCCTGACCCTGTTTAGGAGGAAAAATTTATAAAATACATACCCTGCCTAGGACAACACCCTCAATTTTATTACCCTGTTTAGGACAAACTGTATATTTAAGCTGTAAGTACTTTCCTTAAACAACGCGCGCCAGAGTGCCTCAGGGCGAAATTCCTGCGGGGAAATTACTATAAAAAAAACAGCTTACCTTACTTGAAATGTGTGTTGCGTCTCTCCTGTGTGGTCCACGGGCCGATTTATGGCCGTTTTATGGGTTTTTATGTAAACGGTTTTCTCTCTATAAGGTTTACACATTTTAAGTAAGGTAAGCTGTTTTTTATTGAAATCCTTTCATTTTCGTAGGTTACGGAAACGATAGATTTTTTTCCCATACAAATCCTTATATTTTGAATGTTACGCAACAATGCCGATGCTCGCCGATGCTCATATTTCGAGCTTGGGCTACCTGTGATTTACGGCTAACGGTTAAAATTTTTCAATTTTTACGGCTATCGACTAAATTTTTGGCCGTTTTACGCCTATCGTTTAACCCCATTGAGACCCTCTTATTAGGATCTGCTCCTTCTTTTTTGTAAGCTGGTCCTTGCTTCAAAAATTGAACAGTCAGTATGCCAGGAAAAAATCTCGATTTGCCTAAACAGGGGCCGCGAGGAATCGGTCGGTAATGGTGACCTTTTTAAAGTTGTTCGCGCCCGCAAGTAAGAGATGATAAGGATGACGTAAGACAGAAAATCCCGAAGGGACCGCTTAGGTAGATTTTGTGACATTTATTGACAGTCAATAGTTGGATTCTCTTTTGCTTTACGTGTTATCAGTGACATTCTGTGGAGCAGTTATTTTGAAAGTTATGGACTAAAAGATACCTGTTAAGCGCAGATGAAGCTATAAGGTGCGTATGACTGTGTATATATAAACACTTGGAGCATTTGCCAGACACGAGTTCACAAATCTTTGATTGGAAACCTTGCCAGACACTCTTTCTCTCTCTTTGGCCGGAATAAGACTCGGCCCCAAACAAGCAAGACAAGTGAATCAACGGCTAGCTTATACTAGCAGAACGATGGACGATTACAGAAATTCGCCGACAATCAAATTCTGTGCTGACATCACATCAGATGTGATGTATAAAAAGTATAAAAGGTTCGGTTTACACGCTCCCAGATTTGTTAGCAAGATTTTGTAAAGCAAACTTGTCAAACGCAAAAAAATTCGGCCTGATTTGCTTTCCAAGAATTTGCTTTCCAGGCCTAATCTACTGTGATCAAGAGCCATTATGGCTGTTAAATGTGATCGAAGATGATTGCTATTTTTTGGATATGCTCTTAAGTGAACTTATTTGTGGAATACAAGTTTATTGTTTGATTTAAATTAGAAATTTGTTAATTACTTTATTACTTCAGAAAATCGTAGGAAATTTATTAGATAAGCTTCTAAACTTGTACATAAATGGAAAGTTCATCTAGAAATATTTAGCCGTCCTCAAGCAAAAGAAAATTCTAGGCAGTATTTGCTTCTGGGTGCCCTTGTGATAAGAGTTGTTTGAAGAAGAAGAGCCGGTTGGCCAAAAGCCAGAGAAGTAACACAACTACAGGCAGGAAACAGGAAGTACTTAATAATGACTGCCTAGCCTGATGTGAGACAATACTTTCAGCATCGATTTAGCGCATTTAAACATAGTGCATAATCATTTGACGATACCTTTGAGGATCACCCTCTGGAAACTGAGTCATATAACAGACCTCTAGTGTCGAAGCGTTCTTTGCAACTGTCAGTTATTAATTTGAAGAAAGTTTTGTGCTGATCGGATACAAAATCATTATTTGTTATGCCTTTTATTATTCTTTGCCAACTCCATATTTTTTCAGCCATGCGGAAACAGCTGAGCCCGTAATGAAAACCGCTGACCATATCAGTCACAAGATCTGACTCATTGGATTTGAGTTCTTAACGGCGGAAATCAAGGCTTTACATCGGCTAGTTATACCGGGAAAAATCATTGTGAGCTTTAAAGAGGTCATTCTCCCGTATAATAACGAGAAGGTTCAGTCATGGTGAGTTGCGTACTTTCCTTTCTTCGTTCCTTACGCTTTCATTTCCTAGTAAACTATAAGTGTAAGTTTAAAAGTCGTTATGACCAGCATAGAAACTTAGCAGAGAAAAAAAAAATGTGGAAGAAAGCTTTTGAAATAAACGGAAACAATTTCGATCGCACGTTGAAGTTTATATTTCAAATTTTGTCGTGATTAAGTGTAATTCATATTTTAGGAGTACTCCTGCACGTGGTATTTCCGCGTCCCTTTAAAATGTTTGTATTTTTATTTTTAATTAATGCGCTGGGATTACTGTAAGCTTTTCAGAAGTGTAGTAAACTAAAAATGAAATGAAAAAGAAATTCTGAGATCTGTATGATCTTAATGCGGTGTATCCTCGATTTTAGTTCAATAAAAAGCAAGCTTGTATAATAAGTTAAAGGTACTTAGCATCATATTAATATTTTTTTGATAGGTTTTGATGAACTTTTTTGATTCAGTATTCGCATAATCAATGTACCCAAATCCATTTGCACAAGGAAATTCTCAAGGCCAAAGAGTTGTGACAATAATTATTCGTGAACGAAAATTTTTAAGAAAAATCTTCCAGAAGAACTGACGGCTAGAATCTATCTTCGATTGTAGCACTTCGTTTCCTCGTGTCGGGTACACTTACTCTGAGCTGCATGGCCTGAAGGACATTTGAAGAACTTCAACTTAGAGAAATGTCCGGAAAACGTACAATGAACATGTAGCTCTTGTAAAGGCCAGGGTAGTTTTTTATTCAGTCACCCTACACAAAAAATTGAACTTGTCAAGGACCATGGCCAAAACGTGTCTTCTTAATTATTCTAACTCACAGTGTTTAGTCAGCTCAAAGGAAACTCACTAACTGAGCCTGTTGGCGAGGAGACTGTGCCCCAGTTACAACTTTAAGCAACAAAATTCTCAGAACTGTCCAATCCCCGCCAAAAATTAAGAAAGAGCGGGTAGCTTTGGCTTACTATTTTTCAGTTTTCCTGGTCATTAAAGATTAAGGACTTTTAAAATAGAGCATAGAGGGTTCTAGGTTCTTAGCATTATTAAATTCAAGAATAGTCAACATATTTTGAAGCATTTCGCAATGACTAGAATTTACGATCACATTTTTCACATTCTGGGCACGAGACCATGGCCATATGAGCCACTGCTTGTACCTAGCTCCCTACGAGGAAATCATATAATTAATTGAAAGATTTTGTTTTGTTCCATACAGGATATTGACATGGTCATCACTTATAGCCTCATGGGGATGACGTGTCTGTGCTGTGTATTCTTATGCATTATGGTGTCATATCTCTGCGTTGTAGTGAAGCAAATTCGTCTAAACTTACGTGAGTTCCTTCAAGATGGCGTTAAATACGAGGAAAAGGGGAAACGAATGAACTCAAGAGAACCCCTGGTGAATCCGAGGCAATCATGTAAAGACAGCTTAGAGCCGCCAGTGGTTTATCCGAAGCAAGAGAGACCCCAAGGAGATTCCGAACGCGGCAAAGCAAAACCTTTAGAATCACCAGGTTACACACCAAACAGTGAACATTTCAGAGCACGCCCCTTCAGCCCAAAACCGAAACTTAGTAGCCAAAAATCCAGTGATACCTCTAAAGATAAAAACAGCAACCCAAAGAGAGCTGAAGCACTCGACGTCGAAAGGACCTTAGAAAAAAGGGGGAGACTTAGCTCAATAAGAGCACTGGCCCAAAACGTTCACAAATCAGCAGTTATCTCCAACCCGTGTCAGCTTCTAGGTTATCAACAGAGAAAAAGTGAACCCGAAGGCTGCCTTACACCAAACATCGAAGAGGTTAGAATGAGCCGCAGACCCAAGATGATTGTTAATATTGAACGCGTCAGCGAGGACTCTAAGTCCGATAGTGAGGATTGCTTTTCTGGGAATACAGACGTTTGGGAATTAGTGCCTGAATCATTATATTCAAAGGTGGATCGGTGGAACAATTCTGTAATTGAAAGGTGTGGAACGATGGACATTTCGAAGATATGACAATTCCGCTTGGACGTCAGAGGGTTTAACCCTCTGTAACAAAGACGCTATATGGCGGGGCAGGATAGGGGCTGGGAACTCGGAAGAAAACGGAGCGGGAGTTTGGAGTTCCGAAGGGGGGAAGCGAGAAAAATAGCCTGGGCCGAATTACGCAACAATGCTTAATATTTCGCAATCGAATTATCATAAAATGTTCGCACACACGGCGAGCACATGTCTATCTTATGCTCGGGCATTCCACCTCTTCCCCAGGGCTTTTCCCTAAAAATATGGGAGAGGCCCTGGGAACGAGGTTGCTGGGGCATTACTTACTCCGGCACTGCGACACCCAGCCCCAATTCTGGCCTGCGTGAGTACTCGAACAAAGGGTGTGTTCAT